AACAGGGATATGTCTACAAGTATATGTAGGGCAAAAAATTATAAACTACGAAACTTACAGCACATTTAAAAATATTTTCTGTTGTAAAACTGGTATATATAAGTATAAAAATGACTTTATATTGTAAATATGATGTTTAGATATTATATATGTTTGATATAGATGTTTATATTTCAAAATAAACTATACATATATTTTCTTATTTTAATTACTTTCTTTTAAATCCTCCCAATTTACCATATTAATGCCAGTCACCAGTACGACAACTGGTATCACATAGCTAATATTTCAATTTTAATAACACACACATTGCTAATAACAAATAAAATTTAATCAGTTTTCAAAAGCACATTGCTCAACACCATTTCGATTATGAGGCATTTGTCAATACCCGAAGCCCATTTTATTATCAATGAGCGATAATAATTCGATAAGAAAATTTTTTGTTTATAACATTTTAAACAGTGAACTTAAATCAATCTTTGAATTAGTGTCAGAGTTATCAAAAGGAATTCAGTTACTTAACAATTGATGTGATGTGTGATTAAAAACGCAAATTGTCAATAGAATTGTCGAACCATTGTGAACTATAACTTCAAATTATAGTACCTATGTATTTACTTTTTATATAAACTTATTGACATTTTTCAGATTACAGATAGAAAACATATCTTAACAGTATTTTTAAAAGTTTAATTAAGAGAATTTAATAATTAACTACACAATCAGATTTTAAATTTACCTTAATTGTTTAAAGTACCTACGTGACAGAACAATAAATTTACATATTTGGGCTTATTACGCCCCTGTACATTATTTACGTCTGCGCCAGTCCGCATCTGTTTATGCGCGTGGTGGTTATAAATTGCGTGCGTGAAAGCGACAAAAAATGAAACTTCGACTAGGAATTTCGTAAGAGTGGGATATCTGGTTTGAATTAATCTGGGTTAGTACCTTACATATCTTAGCTACATAAGTTTTTGGTACAAAATGTAAAATTCACTTTGAAAAAAAAAGTGCGGTAGTAACAACTTTTTATAATTACACACATAATGCCTTTTTACACTAGTGCTGTTTATAACCATGTACTTAGTACAGGGGTCGGCAAGTAATTTTGGGTGGGGTCCGGATACTTTTGAAAATTTTTAACGAGGTCCAAAAAAAATTCATATTATTTTTTTTATTTTAATTTGGACTCAAATTTAACCTGCTTACTAACCATTAAGAACTCCCACACTCATACAATTGTAAAATACTAGAAAAAATAATAAGATTGGCACTTAAACGTAAAAAACATTTTTTAAATAATTTATTTGAGTAATTTATACTTTCAAAAAATTTTTATCGGTCCAGTATTTTACCTTCCGCGGTCCGGATCTGGACCGCGGTCCGCCAGTTGCCGACCCTTGACTTAGTACTTACATACATACATACATTTTTAGTATAAAATGTAAGTACACTTCGAGGGAAAAGTGCGGTAGTTAAGTACAACGTTTTATAACAAATTTTACCTTACATATCTTAGCTACTACATAAATTTTTGGTACAAAATGTAAATACACTTTGAAATAAAAAGTGCGGTAGTACCTAACAACTTTTTATAATTACACACATAATGCCTTTTTAATGTTGGATCAGGACTACACTATCCGTTTTGACGGAGCTGTGAAACCGGACCGGTACCATCCCGGGGTAAAAATACACAGGTTTAAATAACATTCGGTAGGTGATTTGGAACGAGACGAGACAAGTGAGAACGCTGTTATTTAACCTGTGTGTCTTCACTATCCCGCTGCCGGTCCAGTTTCACCGTTCCCGTCAAAACGTATAGATTTGTGGTCCAGCACTTTACTTTTACAGTATATTTTGTTACAATTACCTCGACGTTATCATGTTTCACAGTTTTCATTTATAATTACAATAATATTACCAATTTGACTATTTTTTTTCCATTTGGTAACTAGTAACTAATTAGGAGTTGATGTTGTTACTATTTTAGGATCTATCTAT